AAAAAAAAAAAAAAAAGGAGTTTCATGAGTTAGAAGTGGTTTGAATGTGGTTTAATCTCCAGGCACACTTCTGCTTTAGAACCTTTCATGGGTTCTTCCTGCTCTATGCTCTCAGGTTCCCCTGAGAGCTTTATTATGTTCTTTGATTATCTTATGCTAGGACCTTGCAACCCAAATGTGTTGAGAGTTTAAAAGTGGGAACAAGTGTTTCTCCCCCTTATTCATTTTTTTTTTTTAACGTTTATTTATTATTTTTGGGACAGAGAGAGACAGAGCATGAACGGGGGAGGGGCAGAGAGAGAGGGAGACACAGAATCGGAAACAGGCTCCAGGCTCTGAGCCATCAGCCCAGAGCCCGACGCGGGGCTCGAACTCACGGACTGCGAGATCGTGACCTGGCTGAAGTCGGACGCTTAACCGACTGCGCCACCCAGGCGCCTCCCCCTTATTCAAATGACAATAAATGGAAACCTTAATAATTTGTTTTCCTTGTTTGTATCATTTCATTAAAGACTGGATATGTGTGTTCAGCATCCGGATATTTTTAAGGAAAGACGAGGAGAGGTGTTACATAAAAAAATGGATTGAAAATGTTGCAGAGCCTGTTCAGAGAATTGCAGAAAAAGTAATTTCATACGGAGGGTTGGAGAAAATGAAACAAGAGAATCTTGAATGTCTTTTAAAGCGCACAAATAAAATGGTACTGAGAGTTCTTTGTTTTCTTAATAAAGTATACTTTAAAGAGTTGGGCCAACATTTTCACTGGTTATTATGCAAGCAGTCCTGACATTATTTTTGTATTTAAGATGAATTCACTGAATTGTAATACAGCTTACTACATTTTTAAACTTGGAGTTTCAGAAGGAAGGAATAAAAGTATTGATTTGGAACTAGATTTATCAGGAATGCTTTTAAGTAAATGTAAAGAGAATAGCAGTAGCTTAAATCATAAGGACACTTATTGTTCACTTAACAAGAAATTGATGGGTAGGTGGTCTCACTGTGGGTTTTGGCAGTGTAGAAATGTCATTTATCACCCAGGTTTTTTCCTATAATTCTTTTCTGCTATCCTTAATATTTTTGTTTTTTCCTCATCACTCTTATATTTGTAAGCACATTTGGTTACTTACAGCTTCAGGTGTTAGGTCTGTGCTCAAGACAGGAAGAAGGGGTAAGGAGTGGTGCCAGGGTACCTTTATCTTATACCTGATCCTTTGATCTGGAAGCAAAGAGTCCCCAGAAGCTCCTGGCAGATTTCCCCTTAGATCCTCTTCGCCATAAATGGGCCACATTGCAAGTCCTAGCTAGAAGCAGGGCCAGGAAAGAGAGCGTAAGGCATTCTAATCTTTCAAGTAGGAAGAGAGCAAGGGAGAAGGGGATTCCATGCTATTCAGTCAGTCAAACATTAGGTGTAGGGACCATAGCTTTCTACATACTGTTCCTCAATTTGGCTTTATAAAAGAATAAAATTTTGCTGCTGCTTTTGGAAATTTTTCTGTTTTAACCTTGAGGTCAGAACCCTCTTTTGGAATTTAGGTCTGCCTAAGTTCCCAGGTACTTACTGGAGATCTAGCATAGTTTGCCTGGAAAGTTAGAGTATTGATATGGTGAGCAAAATTTCTGGATATGAACATTAAATACTTCTTTCTAAGCACTCTAAGAGGCAGAGCTCAGTGTCAAATCCAGGTGTCTTTGAAACCAAAGTGCACAGGCTTACAGTTGTGCTCAGAAATGTGATTGTACAAGTACAGGATGGGGAAGCCATGCCTTAGAAAAGGCATGTGTTGAAGTCCGAGTGGTTAAAAAAAAATTTTTTTTAAATGTTTATTTTGAGAGAGAGAGAGAGAGAGAAAGAGAGAGTGTGAGCAGGGGAAGGGCAGAAGGAGGGAGATAGAGAATCTGAAACAGGCTCCAGGCCCTAGCTGTCAGCACAGAGCCCAACGCGGGACTCAAAGTCACAAACTGTGAGATCATGACCTGAACCAAGGTCAGATGCTTAACCAGCTGAGACACCCAGGCACCCCTGGAGTGGTTTTAAATGACAGTAAATTCAATGTGAGTTGACTATGGGAGCGGACTTCTAAGAAAACATCTGAGCTCTTAGGCTGTATTGAGGGAGGCAGTGCTTGGAGTGGGAAGCATCAAAGTCCACCGTGTTGCTATCTTGTCACTCCTGATTCACACTGTAGAGGGGATCTTCAGCAGTTGCAGAACCTTTAGAAGAGGGTGGAAGCTTGACAACATCTCCTGGGAGGAAAAGTGGGAAGAAATATGGGTTATTTAGTCAGAGGAAGAAATGACAGGAAGAGGGATGAAAACGAAACATTTAAAAGACAGATGGGTGGGTGATGGGTAGATAAATTTTGTGTTGTTTTGAGGTAGAGTATTAGTGTCTCCAGTGCCAAGGCAGATTTCAACTCAGTCTAAGGACAGACTGGTGGTTAGAATGACCAAAAGAGTACTTGGCTGGCAGAGCAGAAAGTTCTCAGACTAAGGCTAGTTGATGACTTCAGACTAAACTTGATGATTACTACCCCCAGAAGGTGGCGAGCTGTCTCTGCAGTCTAAATTACTTCTGAGGTTTCTTCTAACCCTTTGAATCCATGATTTTCTACAAAAACAGAATAAAGCGTTTGGCTTTTTTGAATCTTGCAAAACACATTGTATACAGTGACTTGCTCTTAGGTGTATTTTTTTTTTCTAAAGGAAATTGTATTTGGAAATCTTTATGATCCTGAAGTATACAACCCTTTTTATATGACAAAAAAGTACCCAAATTATGGAAAGGTAAGTAAGTTTCATTCATTCATTCATTCATTCACCCTTAGAAGCTCTGGGTTGGGGAAAACCTAGTCATTTTAGAAGTCTTCTAGTTATCCTGTATTCATTAAAGAAAGTCCATAAAAGCATTTCCTCTGAGTTTTAGATTAGGAACCCAAAATAATTTCACCTACTGGGAAAATTACATGTTTGTGTGATAATGTTTCTGCTCATTCATTCTTCCATTCACATTTAGCAAACTGGAAAGGAAGACATGGGCAGCAAGACATGGGTGTGACAAGTGTCACAGAATTAGTACAGGGAGCAATGGCCTGAGAGGCAGAGCTCCTTTCTGTGAAAGGTGGAAGGAGGGATGCAGAAAAGGCTGCCCAGAGAACTAGTAGTTGGGCCTGTAACGAGTGTTCACGTTTTAAACTTGCCAATATAGGAGTTAAAATTTTGAGATGTAGATTCAGGTTTTTTACTCCTGTGTAGGAAAAGTACCCACCAGGTAGCATAAGTTATTTAAAAGTATGTGTGTGGCTCTGAAGAAAGAAGTGGTTGGTTTTGCTTCTCTCGGAAAACCAAGGCAGATCACTGTTATGAAGATAAGAAGGTTCCTTTGGCTCTGAGAGACTCGCTAATATGGTGTAGGTTCGTCATTTTGCTGCCTTGCTTATCCAGTAATTGTTTACCTCATACATACTTTGGGGACTAGCATTGGGCCAGGTGTATGGGGGAAAATAAAGAAGGGGAATATGGTTTCTAGTGTAAAGTGTAAAGTTAGGAATGGGGAGGAGAAAACCACCTCTCTCCACAACCTCTGTACCCCAGCCTCTCGACACTCACCCACACTGAGGTTTACCTGCCCTCCTGTTTTCACAGACCCTTAAAGACTGGTTGTCAGCTCTCCCAGGAGCACTCTTACTCCCAGGCCACTCACTGCCTTGTGCTCCTAAAGCATCCTCTTCTGATACCTCTCATGACTAGATTGTCACTGTATATGATTTTCTGTTCTAGACAGGTTCTTGAGGATAGGAACTCACTGGGAGGTGGCACCCAGTGGCGTCAGCACATATTTATTGACTGGTGCACTGATGCAGTAGAAGTCTTGATGGAGTGTGCTACTTCTATCGGGAGGCCCTCCTTCCAGTCAGCCACTTATGACTCAATGAAATGTCCTAATGTGAGACAGATAACCTTTACCCTTTCCCTGCTCTATGGGTTGACATTATTCACGGGTCGACATTATTCACGGGTCATTAATCTTTGGTGTACAGTAAGGCCATACTCGAATGCTTCAGACAGACTTAGAGAGCTTAATACAAAGCACTTGGATCCTCGAAATTATTTTTCTTGTAGGTTATGTTGCCTTTGTTTTGTGATTCCCTGTTTAGAAGATGGCAAGAGATGGATGAAGAGAAGAGAGCTGTTTTTCAAAATAAGACAGGTATTTTGTGATCATTGGGCTTTATTTTTAGAGACTTATAATTGTCCGGTGATTTCCTACCAGAAGAGTGACTAAGTTGACATTAAGACTGTTGATTTAGATTTTTTTTTTTTT